TGCTTCCGAACTCAAATTATACTGTACCCGCTCTACAACGGCTCCGCTCCGGTGCGGAGACCTGAGGTGCGCTAACAGGCATGCGAAGGATTCTTGAGATCTTGCGATACAGTCCGAGCAATAAACGCGGAAGTTAGATCCAAACACCAGTTGTGTGGGAGAAGCATCGGCATGAACAGTTTAATCTGCCCATCATGTGTGTTGAGAGATCAGCAGTGTTTGGATCAACAAAGGGTGACTACTATGATAGTAGAAACTGTATTTATGGCTTATTTTTGTGCATTTAAACTTCAGCCGCCATTGATAGTTGTTAAAAGTTGTTAAACCTGTGCATATGAAACAAAAAACACTTTTTGTTTATCGATTTATTGTGAAAAACGGAAGTTGTGCTTGCTCCTTCTACTGTTGGGCGGTTGTGATTTCTGTCCATTGACCTTGGAGGTGCTCCGCCATCCGGCAAAAATAGAATCGATCCTATTTTTGCCGGATGACGGAACGGCGGGCGGCGCCGCATGTCCACAGTAGTGGAACAGCTCTGATTGACTACAACGGGACCGTTTTTTGCTGCGGAGTTCGTGCCGGAGCGGAGCGGAGATAGAGGAATTTTGGGGTTGCTCTTTCAATGCTAATTTGTTTTCTAAATTTTCTATTACAACATAAAAAAATTTTTTGATTAACAAAAAGGGCTCTTGTATAATTATTTAAAAAATAGCTGATGTTCAACTCACTTCTTCCGGCTCTTGGAAAGTACAGACGCTTTTTTCCTCCTCTCCTCCCTACCTTATCCCAAGGCTCTTTGTCTGTCTTTGGGTGTACGGCGCTTCTGCATTTTTTCTGGAAAACTGGAAACTGAAATTACTAAAACGTACCTGTTCAGTTGGTCTCTCAACGCGATTGACAAAATTGTTTCAACGATGAGAACGGGAGACGGGGCTCCCGGGAGCCCCTCTGGCACAGAGCCAGTTGGGCATACCATGGACTCCTGGAAACAGTGGAACCTGATCTGTCTGTCCCAACTGTCTGTAGAGGATTCTGAAGACGTCTGGATATTCATGGTGTTGGTGACAGGTTTCCTGCTTTACCGGAAAATTAACGAGCTGTCGAGGAATATTGGCTCTTTCCCGGAGCTCAGGGATGGATTATACCGCGCTGTGAATGCACAGACTCATAATTGTCGAGATGAGTCGTAAGCTTGGAACTTTGGCCGAGATTCATGCATTGGCAGATGGATGCGATCAAGGAGCGAGTGGACGAATCAGCACGGATTGGGATAGATTAATTTACGCCATTATTAGATTCAGAGAGGTTGAGGACTAACAGAACTTTAAGACAGAGAAGAAATTATCTCTGTCTGGCCCCAAAACAATTTCTTATCTGAATCTGGTGCCCTTGAGCCTGTGAGGCTGAAATAACCCCCCCCCCCCCCCCCAGAAGAAATGTGGAATGCTGCCGTTGCCATGGCAACTCTGTCTCCCTATCCCAGCCTGGGCGGGACTGCGAGCTGTGAAGGCAGCTGAATCGTTCCAGGAGTCACTGTGCTCTCTAACCCAACGACCTCCCACCCCTGTCCAAACGGAGGTGACGAGCGCTGCTCATCGTGGCTGCATTCACTGACGTGTGGAGAGTAACTCTGGAGTGTCTTTTTTTTTCCTCCACCTGACTCTATCCTCGTGAAACCCGCTGATCTCTATTAAGCACATATGTCAGAGTCAAGGCCCGCGGACCAGATGCGGCCCGCGGAGCATTTTTATGTGGCCCGCGAGATAAATATCAAAAATATATTAAAACTGGCCCGCTGGCCGATTTTACCGCAAAGACTTCAACTCCCATGATGCTTTGCGGCGTCAGTGCGGAGCCGACGCGCCCCCTCCTTTGTGTTTTTTCCAGCGTCTGCTGCCGGTGTCTGCAGCTCCGCTGTCTCGGACAACCTACACACTCCTCTCACTCAGCGCCGAGTTCACTCAGCTGTTTTCTGACGTTGAAGCCCAGAAACGGAGATTCTAGCCGCTCAGTAATGTTTTCACGACTGAAAGAGAAAGTTTTCCTACTAACTTCCAGACAGAGCTGATATAACTCCAGCGAGCAGCGACACGCTCAAACCAGCACGACTCTATGGTTGTGTTTCCTCCCCGACACACAACAACGTGGTCAAGCTGCTCAGACATGTTCAGCAGCACAAACCTATGTGAGCACCTGTTGTCATCTAATGTTGTCATTATTATGATGAAGATGAACAAAACAACAGGAGTCTCCTCCTCAGCTCAGCTCAACCCCATGATGCAGGTATCTGGCTGGAACAGGTGAGCATCACAGTAAACCAGTGGAGCAAACTGAGCTTTAAATATGTTGGTTTTCTGCTCTTTTTCTGCTCCAAAACATGAAAGTTAACAGGTGAGATGTTGCATTTTCATTTAAGATAAAATGATATTTTTATTTTGTTGTTGGCCCGTGAGAAAAGATTTAACCTACAGTAAACAGGAAGTGGGAAGGCTGCAGATAGACGAATAGAATAGAAAATCCCTTTATTGTTCCTCAGTGGGGAAAGCTAGACGTCACAGCAGCGATGACACGTATTACAGGAGAAAAAAGGAGAATAAAAAATGAGAAAAATGAATAAACAAGAAAACATAAATCCTGAATAGATTTAAAAATGCTGATTATACCACAAGTAATGAATACCACTGATGTGTTTTATTTAAAAATGACTTGCTCGTGTGTAATTTGGTTATTCCACATTCAGTGTTAATGCAGAAATATGTTTGTTTCCACATTTAAAGGTTCTAAATTGCATTTATGTTGATAAAGAAAATGTGCAAATTTGCCGTCACTTTTTCAAAAAATATTAAGTTTGGCCCTCGACTCCGTCCCAGAGTTTCATTTCAGCCCCGTGTGAGTTTGACACCCCTGTTATTAAGGTAGCGAGACTCAGGGTTGCGAATGACCACAGTCACCAGTTCTTGTCATGTGTCTTTGCCTGTACGTACGTCTGATCTCTGAATTGTGTGTACTGAAACTCTAATTTCCCTCTGGGATTAATAAAGTGTCTTTGAATTGAATTGAATTAACTGCCAGACATTTCCTGATCAGAAAACTCCTTCGCTGCCAGCGTTTTCAGTTTATTCAGGGTAACTGCAGGTTTAAGGGAGCCGAATTTAAGACTTTTTAAGACCTTTTTTAAGGCCACTTTGACCAAATTTAAGCTATTTTTTTAAATTAAATTTAAGCGATAATTTCCAGCTATTGCCTGGAACTGGTGGAAACGTGGGATTAGCCATCCAGTTACCATTAAACTTGCCCTTCCCCATGGCGCAAGCTCCCACTAGCTTAACCAGCTAATGTGCTCATCTAAAAATAGCCCCCTTTCACAACCAACTGAATGTGTACGGTTCCGCTTACGCCAACATCATACACAAAAAATGCTGAAGACTAACTAGAAATTCTTGTTCATTGGGTCTTTGTAATTTAAGACCTTTGGAAACTGGATTTAAGGATTATTTGTCATTTTTAAGGATTTTCAAGGCCTTAAATTTAGAAAACGCAAATTTAAGACTTTTTAAGACTTTTTAAGGACCCGCGGATACCCTGATATTGAAGAGTCGCAGAACGTTGCACGGTATGACGATGTCAACGCCAACACTACCAAAACAAGAGTAGACTCACCTCTTAGATCAGGACGAACCCGCGCGTTTTGAGCGTTATCTGTTATTTTATAATACGTTGTCAAATTGTGATCGGCAGAAGCTTTTCCGGTTTGCACCTCACTTTTTTTTTTACAGCAGCGGCCCAAAACTATCTCCTACCTAACACGTGGATTTTCTGCTTCCTGATCACGTGACGTGTGACGTATGCAGATGGAGATCAGCTTTGGAGCTGGGATGTTTGATCTCACTGTGCGGGGGCTCGTTCTGACGCCCACACAGTAAAATAAATAAATAAATAAAAAGGCACATGATGACTTCAGTCGTCAATGGCAGTTAATGAGTTAATACAGCAAAAGCTTGATGCATTTTCAAACATCAAATCTCATTAAAAATTGTGTATTATGGGATTTTGCTTGAAAACACTGCTTTTCTAATTCTATGGTATTTTATTTAGTAACTCACAAGTTGACCCGAGGTTTAAATGTTGCGTTTTTCCATTTTACCAAGAATCTGGATCGTGGTTTATAGACTGGCATGTTAATCTTTATTTGGTTAGGATTGATGCCAGAGTAGAAACACCAACCTCACACAGGTGGCATGTTGCCAAGGACTGTGCAAGTGAAGCCAGAAACACTTCATCCCCCCTCCTTCTCCTGAATTTGTACCCCCACCACTTAGGGAACCACCGTATTAACACCTCCAAGTACAAGATGCCATACGTCACTGAAATGAACATTGCCACCTTCCTCTTTGCCTCCATTCGAACCCTTTTTTACGTTTTCTTTTTGACGTTCACCATTAAACTCTCCACCACTCTCAAGCCTCTAGCTCACCCACAAGCACATCAACGTCAGTCTCTGTGAAATGGTGTTTTTAGGCCTTGCAGTCACCGTGATTACCTGTGAAAGCTGCCACTTACCTGGCTTACTCGTATGCAGAACACTCATAAGTGGGTGTGCGGAGGGTGGGGTGTGATCAAAAATCACCTGAGCACACTTCTAGGACAGGTGTGATTTATAAAGCAGGAATTGTGTGCAGCTGTGCGTAAGCAGAGTTTTATGAATCAGAACATTTGTTTGTATAAATAAGCTTTTGTGTCGAGCTTAAGTAGATTTTTAGTGAGGGCTCTACACGGCTTCATAAATGAGACCCATGGTTCTTAGAGCTCGTAGAGACAAGGGAGAGAAAAGTATTTTAACATGTGTTCTTAGTGATCAGACGGGTTTTTAGAGTATGCATGACCACGAACGAAAACCTTTTTACGACATCCAGAGGAACTTGATCCCCTCGCCTGCACAGCTCTCTTACAGTCCACACGTCTTATAACCATTTCACAGAGAGTAAATGCAAACGTCGTACCTCATCTCCCACCATGTTCCACAGATGAACCAGTGGTAGGCCCGTGTTGTTGTCGTAGTTTGAGACCTTTATAGGAAGCAGGGAGGAAACAGACATTAGACTTTAGCTGATGGTGGTTCTCTGAAGAGCTGCAGGGTTGAAGGTAGCCTCACCTGTGCAAGTAAAGCCACGCCTCTGGTCATTTCCTCCAGCGTCGACGTGGCTTCTGCTGAGAAACGATCCTCTCCTGATGAATGACACATCAGTGTGTATGAAACCAGCACCGGAGGTGAACTCAAAACCAAAGATCTGCTCTTAAACACGGCGCTAGAGGCCGACCGATATGTTCAAACTTTCTGTATCGGCCATCAGCCGAAAGTATTTCTAAAAGCTGCGAAAAAAATATATAAAAAAAAAAAATCAGGCACCTCTGTGACCAACTACTGCCACTACTAGACTACAGAAAGGACCCGAACAGCTCCTTTATGTTGTGAGTTTGTTTGACAGCGTTTCCCGTACGGAGCTGAAACTCCAGCACAACGCCTCCAAAGATCAGCAGACGTTTCTTTAAGAGTGTGTGTGGTCAGGGTGGGCGGTACCAACCCTCAAACCTGCTGGCGGACGCCAGAGGTGAGGGATGCTGACAAGCTGTCTTTATGGCCAGAGGGCCGACTGAGGCTGCTGACAGGTTAGGGGTCGCAGTGGAACAAAGCCGGGCCTGGGACAAGTTTCAAGGTGATTCTGGTGCAAATCCGATATCTGAGGAAGTTTATGGTGTTTACGGCGGTGATGGCGTGCTGCTGATCTTGCCTGGGAAGGGCGAATGAGTGGGCGGGGCCCTTTGATTTAACAAACAATAAAATAAATGTCTCCGACTCTGACAGCCAGAAGATCTCTCTAAACTCGGCACGTAACAAAACAAAGCTGTACCTGGAAGAGGGACGATGTTGTCGAGCAGAACTTCTGCACCTTGAAATGGCAGAGTTACAAAATCTGACCTGCAGAGAAAGCACCGTGTTATTTGCTGATGTGTATAAAACAGATGACAAGTAGGCTAGAAGCACAACAAGTGAATGTGCAGAGTTATCAGATGAAGCTGCAGCACCAGGAGCCCAAAGGCTAGACGCCCACAGGTCAGCTGGAGGGCGCTTGCCTGATCTGTCGGAGCGAGTCGGTCTTTACTCGGTCGTAGCCTCCATAATCAACATATCTGATCTCCACCTCATCGCTGTCTTTATAGAAGGTGATGACCTGAGCTCTCCACCAGGCTCCGTCCACTGCTGGAGCTGCGCAGATAACACCAACTGGAAGAGAAGGAGGAGAACTTCCGACACGGATCTCACCACCGTAGAGAAGACGTTCCAAAGAAAAGTTCTACCTTCAGCAGGCGAGGGCAGGGCGGGGGTACCCGGCTGGGAGTAACACAGGAACATCTGCTGATCCAGACTTCTTAGGGCGTGGTAGGTGGGGTGGGTGTGTTGCTGGACGAAGACGTGACCAGCTGACACGATGTTCACCACAACCACCTCGACGGTCACTCCACTGGGAAGCAGGAGCTGAAAAACATGGAGGTCAAACAGCAAAGCGTCAGAAGCCTGCGCTCAGCACGAGGACTCAGCTGTGTAGCGGAGAAGCTCCTTCTCACCCAGGAGGTCATGGGAAGTGAAGGCAGAGAGAGTGAGGGTGGTGGGGGTGCGTACAGATTGGTCAGGTCCAGGTCCTTAAACTTCTTGCCAATCAGTGCCAGAGCTTTATCAACCTGCTGCTGCACACCTGGCGACAGATCAGGCAGCGTTAGAAACCACCTCCGAGAGGAACCTTTCCTACAAACGGGCGCCTTGCAGCAGACTCACCCTCTATGTGGCAGATCTGGAACTCCTGTGTGTAAGGCAGAGTGGAGATGTAGATCTTTGCTCCAGAGTTCTGCTTCAGGAAGCTCACGTATCTCCCCTGCTTCCCGATCAGCCGCCCTACAAGATGCTGACACGGCAAGAAATGCTCATGAGAACCGTCCTCAACCACTTTGGACCATGAGAGGAAAATCCAGCGACACCAGTTTTACTCCTCTGACATCCACAAAGAAAACGTAGAGCAGCAGAAGCAGGTTTGGTTTCTCTGCCGGCGGCGTCTCCGTTACAGACACGCGGGGGCGGGGTCACTCACCTTTGGCACCTCAATCTCCCAGATAACGAGTTCAGAGTTTGATGAGGCAGCGTTGTTGCCCTGGCCCTCACAGGCTCCCATAGTGCAGCCGCTGTCCACCGAGTCCATACTGTTCACATCAGAACCTGGACACATCACATCCAATATTTTACCTTCACCAGTAACAAACTACACTTTATGACATGGTAACGTTTCTGAAGCCCCGTGTGTCCAACAGCTGCTTCAGTCCACCTCGACCCTTTCTCCAGCTACTAGTCACCTCCAGCAAAGAGAAGGTTTCACAACCACGTCCGCCACCGCCTGAGGGGAGTCGGGTTAGGAAGCCCCAGCTAAAGCCCGATGAGACGGAAAAGGAAACCGGCTGCAAAACCCTCTGAAGTTATGGGTCAGACAAGATCAGAAGCTTCTAGATCAGAACCTGGGCCCATAGTCGCCCGATTAACACATTCAGTACGATCACTTCCAGAGCAGACCCACGTCTTTAGCACGTTAAAGCAGGCTGCTAGGACACACACCCTCACCGTTAGCATAGGACGAGCCTCACCTCCAGACTGATCGGTGTCCACCTCACATGTCCCATGAGCCCCGTTTCTTGAGCCAATCCCGTTAAGTCTCTTTAGGACACCTGCAGCATCCACAGAGCTCTCCTCTGGGGCTGCTGGGCCGGCCTCCACCAACGACAGCGGCTGCACGGCTTCCAACGACAAGTCTGTAACTTGAAGGACGTCCGTTTGGTTTTCCAACACGCCGCTCTGCAGCTCCTCCAGGCTAACGCCGTCCTCAGAGTGGCAGGTGCTGCAGGCAGAGTCTTCGGTCAGGACGGTCCCCTCGTCGCCTCTACGTTTCACGTTTAGACCTGGAGAGGCCTGATGCGGCGGCGGCGGCCACGAGACATTTGTTTTACAAACCCCGTTGCTGGCCTCAGCAGCTGCCCGTGCTGGAGTCATGGAGCCACCATTTGGCACTCCCTGGACATCTGCTGCCTCTCGGCACTCAGGGCCTCCCTGCACAAGGCTTCTCGGGTGACAACCGTGCTGCTGTGTTCCTGCGACCGGCTCCTCTAGAGAGCAAAGCTGTCCTCTGACCGCGGGTGAGCTGCCACCGGGTGACACCTTGGTGACACCGAGCACTTCCTGGGTGGCTGCTGAGATGACCTCAGTGATGAGTCCAGCTGCCAGGAGCTCCAGATTCGGCTCTTCTTGAGTGCTGCTCTTGATACGGATGTCCTCTGAGGTCACCAGCATGCTGGTGGGATCCTGGACTGTGAAGGTGAGAGAAGTGGGTGTACTGGTTAGTATCAGTTTGTGTACATCCGCTGACAGACACGTCTCCAGAGAGTCTGCCTCTGATGGGAGGACCCTTGGTGTTTTGGCTAGGGTAAGTGCACAAACAATCTCATCTTGAGTGTTAACAGAGCTCTGATGCATAGCAACTTCACCCTCTGGCTCTGGTCTTTCTGCACCAGAGAGGCGTGTCACAGAGGACGAACGGGTGACTTTGGTAGCATGGTGAGACGTGATGGCGTCCTCGCTCGAGGCCCCCGGAGCCACCTCTGAATGAAACTCCCCGTCTGAAACTATTAAGAAGTCCCTTCCAGGGGGTTTCAACGAACTTCCTGTCACATCTTCCTCATGTGATGGCGAAGTGGGACCTGTGGGTGTAAAGATGTCCTCTGCTATTAGTCTGCCACTCAGTGGGTCAGGATCATCAGAACTTTGAACCAGGGAATGTGCTGCTTCAACATCCTGGGTGTGGATGGGAGAAAGTATTTCATGTGGTGTTCTCTGGTGGTTTAGACTCGGAGGTCCGTAGAAGTCCACTTCACGTGGAGGTGTGGCAGTCCCGTTTTCATCCACGCCGTTTCTACCCTCCAGGTGAGATGTGTCCGCGCTCGGGGGCCCCTCTGAACTTTCATCGCTGATTAGACGCTCTTTCTTACGCGAGGCGTACCACCACCAGCCGATGAGTGCGAGTACACCGGGCAGCGTGTAGGGAACCACGGAGCGGAACCTCAGCAGCATGTTCTCAAGAGATCAGGGGGCACACCTGAAATTAAAAACAGGGACAGATGAGCAGAGAAAGGCGTCACAAAGACTTTCTGGTAACAGAAACCACCTAGGTGGCAAACCTACAGCCAGGTCAGCAAACAGGTCTCCCCGGCGACCCGAGGGACTCGCTGGAGCTCCGTAGCAGAGTCTTAATGCTCAGACATCTGACAGACTAGCCCACATCGTCGGTCTGACTGCTGCTCGTAGAGAAGTGACATTAACTGATTTTTACATCAGTTGTTTCAGGAAAAAATCGACTTTAACTGTCTTCCTGACCAACTTTGACTAAACTTTAGCTTCAGAAACTAAAGTACTTCTTGTTTGGAGTATCCCACACCACTCACCTGGGACAGCAGCGTTCACACTAAGGTGTTAGAAAACATGCAACACGTGTCTGCTGGATTGTGAACTTGGCTAGGAACGTGCACAGCCCTAACACACACCATTACAACCTGAACCCAAGTGAAAGTGACGCACGCTGGTCTTGGACGTCTGCATGACCCTGGGTGGTTCTCACCCGACTGTGGCACAGAGAACCGTTAAGGTCATCGTGCGTGCGTGTGCGTGTGTGTGTGGAAACACGTCCCTGCCAGGTCCTTTCCTGCGGACTGACACGCAGACTCGCTCTCAGAAGCCACCTCTGTAGGTGCCTTCCTCTCACGTAGGACACAGCCTACATGTATGAGACGCCCAGCAGCGACTTAGCTTCACGGCTAGCTGACGCTAAAGAACAGTCCGTCTGTTTGAACATAATCCTGCTGGCCTCGGGTCGTCTTACTAGATTGACGGAAAACGTGAAGTTTTCAGGAATTTTAGGGACAGCTCGTTAATCCCACCGGGACAGCTGGCTCGTTCACTCACCAGAGGATAAGTTGTATGAAATCTGTCCTCGCGCTTTACTTAATAACGTCAGGCCCTACTAACGAGAGGATCTACGTGACACACGTTGACTAAATAATGGACATTTTTGTTTTGCTTTACCAACTGAGAGGCGGGCTAGGCCGCAGCGGCGCCGTGGAGGACACGTGTGTTGGGTCGAAGCGGGTTAAAGGACGTTCTGCTGCGAGCGGGCCTCAGCCCTGCTGCTAGCTTACTGACCTGCGATGCTAACACCGCAGCCAACGGCGCTGACTGGCCGACAGCCGACACTTCTACTGGGATATAAAAGCTCTGGTGTGCTTGTTACGGTGATCGTTCGCATCCGTGCCCGCTGAGGACACGTACATGCGGCTGCTTGAATGACACCACAGGGGCAGACCTGGCTGCACTGCCCAAAACTGGGGAAAAGTGCTCGTTCAATGACACGATGGCATTGAACGAGCACTTACTTTCAGTGCACACACCTGATACATCCTAAGCGTGCCCAGAAATGTCAATGGTGTGTATTTAGTCGGAGATGAAAGGCTGTCTGCTTAGAGAACGCCAAAAGTCGAGTGGCACAAGGGTGCATGCTAGTCTGGGAGATCGCGCTGTTTCATTTACCTTCTTCTGCGCCGCCACGACGACTTCGAGCCAGGAAGGAAAAGCTTTTCAACAAAAGTCCTGTACAAAGTCAAACTCCTCTCTCCACGTGCTGATCGACCCACGCAGGTCTATAAAAACACACAACTACTACTACTTCTTCATCCTCTTCTTCTTTTAGGTTTTTAACTTAACTCAAAGGTGCGGTGTCGCCCCTGGTGGGCAGAAGTGGGACTTTTTTTAAACAAAGCAGCATAAAATAGAAGAAGAAGAAAATATAATTTCTATAGCGCCTCTCAAGATAAAAAATCACGAGGCGCTTCACAAAAACACACAAAAAATGTAAAAGTATAAAAAAGCATTTAGAAAATGTTTAAAAATATATTTAAAATGAGCAAAAATAGGTTATTGGGATTTAAAAGAAAAAATGTTAAGAAAGAGAGAGAGTGAACAGGAAAGAGGGAAACCAGTGGATCCTGAGGAAGGTGGAATAGGTGGGGAGAGCAGAATAAAGAGAGAGAGGTGAGGAAGGTCATACAAAAGCCAGCTTGAACAAGTGAGTCTTCAGCTGCTTTTTAAAGGAGACCACTGAGTCCACTGGTCTCAGGCTCAGGGGGAGAGAGTTCCAGAGTCTGGGGGCCAAAGCAGCAGATGATCTGTCACCTTTGACCTTTAGCCTGGTGCTGCACAACCAGTAGGCTTTGGTCACTGGACCTCAGGGACCTGCTGGGGGTGTGGGGACTAAGAAGATCACCAATGTAAGATGGTGCTTGTCCATGTAAGGCCCTATAGACCAGAACCAGGATCTTGAAATGAACCCTGAAGTTGACTGGCAGCCAGTGAAGCTGGAGGAGAAGCGGGGTGATGTGGGTGTGTTTGGAGGACTTGGTCAGAAGCCGAGCACAGGCGTTCTGAACCACCTGTAGACGGTTCAGGGAGGTTCTGCTCAGACACGTGAAAAGAGAGTTACAGTAGTCTAAGCGTGAGGAGATGAAGGTGTGGAGAACTGTCTCAAGTTCAGAGCGGGACAGAATGGGACTCAGCTTAGCAACGTTCCTGAGATGGAAGAAGGAAGAGCCAACAAGAGAACTGACATGAGAATCCAGGGTGAGAGCTGGGTCAAAGGTCACGCCAAGATTCCTGACAGAAGGTTTGGTGTGAGAAGCAAGCTGACCAAGAGAGTCTCTGACTTTGGGAACCAGCTTGTCTGGGGCACAGATGAGGATCTCAGTCTTATCTTCATTCAGCTGAAGAAAGCTCCCACCATCCAGGTTTTGATAGAGTCTAAGCAGGTGTGTAACAGCTGCAGCTTAGACATCTCATGGGGCTTAAAGGAGATGTACAGTTGGATGTCATCTGCATAAAGATGGTAGGAGATTCCTTTGAAGGAGCTCAGGATGTGCTGAAGAGGAAGCAGATAGAGGAGGAAGAGCAGAGGCCCCAGCACAGATCCTTGTGGGACACCATGGGTAAGAGAGGTGGTGGAGGACCTAAACTTGGAGACGGCCACAGAAAAGCAGCGCTCGGAAAGATAAGAGGAGAACCACTCCAGAGCAGATCCTGATAGGCCAACCCAGTCTCTCAGCCTCTCCAGTAGCAGGTGATGGTCAACAGTGTCAAAGGCTGCAGTCAGGTCCAGCAGGACCAGAACAGAACAGTCCCCTGCATCACTGTGGGTCAGAAGGTCATTAGAGACCCTAAGAAGAGCTGTTTCAGTAGAATGAGCTCTACGAAAACCTGACTGGAAGCTATCATAGATGTTTTGTTCATCAAGAGCAGCTGTGAGTTGTTTAGCCACAACCTTTTCCAAGATCTTGGAGATGAATGGAAGTTTAGAGATGGGTCTGAAGCTGCTATGGAGAGAGGGGTCGAGACTCGGTTTTTTAAGAAGTGGGTGGATTACAGCGTTCTTAAAGTAAGCAGGGACCTGACCAGAGACCAGAGAAGCATTAATTATAGAGAGCACGCTGGGACCGATGGACTGAAAAGCACTTTTAAACAAAGATGAGGGTAAGATGTGGAGGGGGCATGCAGAGGTCTTCATAGAGTTAACTAGTTAGGTTAACTCAGGCAAAGAAACAGGAGCAAAGCTATCTAGGATGATGGTCCTGGTTGGAGTCGGGAGAGGCGGCGATAAGGCTGAAGGAGAGATGCTAGATCTGATCTTATTGACTTTGTCCACAAAGAAAGACAGAAAGTTCTCACAGTCTGCAACAGAGTGGATGGAGGCTGTAGGAGAGGCAGGAGAGACGATGCTGCTGATGGTGTTAAACAGCACCTTGGGGTTCCCTTTGCTCTGGGACACCAGGTTGGAGAAATAGGAAACCCTGGTGTCTCTGACTGCAGAGTTAAAGGATGTCAGAAGATCCTTTAGGTGCAGCAGATGGACGTGGAGATGGGTTTTCTTCCACAAACGCTCAATTTTTCTGCATTGGCGCTTCAGGCTGCGAAGGCTGTCATTAAACCAGGGAGTAGGGTTCACTGCAGGAACTGATCTGGTTCTGACAGGACAGATGTTGTCCAGAATGGAGAGGCAGTGCTCGTTAAACTGAGAAGTTAAGGAATCTGGGTCGTTATCAGAAGAACAGGGTGGATCAAAAGCAGCAGAAAAATTGCTAGCTGTGTTCTCATTAAGAAAACGAGAACTAACCATACGGCGAGCAGGAGGTGGGGACGCAGAAACTGACAAGTTAAAGAAAATGCAATGGTGATCTGAAATATAAATGTCCTCAGGACAAACACTGTCAGCATTTAGACTCAGGGTAAAAACAAGGTCTAGAGTGTGCCCCCTGGTGTGTGTGAGGCCAGAAACATGCTGGGTAAAGCTGAAGGAGTCCATAAGGCTGGAGAAATTCATGGCAAAGAGATCAGAGGGATCATCAACGTGGATGTTAAAGTCACCAACAATCACCAGTCTGGACAGCTTCACAGTGGAGGATAGAAAGTCACTAAACTCCTGAAGGAAAGAACCGTTTGGACCAGGTGGACGATAGACCACAGCACAGTAGAACGGGTCCTTACGCCCGACTTTAATCAGCTGCAGTTCAAAATAGGT